TAACAAAATACCAACAAAGCAATAAATATTATATATATATACCTACATAGTTATATATGCCTACATAGGAATATGTATATATGTATCATAAACAATAACAACACTAAGAAAATAAGACAAAAACATAAAAAAAACTACAAAAATCTGCAAATGTGATGCAATCCAATATGGCTGCCACCTGGTGACGTCATAATATGCAAATTATGTGAGTGAATTGGTTCCTATCTCCACATTTGGCTCATACTGAAGATTTTTCTAATTTACAATATTCCTCTATCTCTAACCCGATTTAAGCTACAAGCTCTTTAAATAGTGATATAAAAAATCATATTTTACTGAAAAAACTATGGTGCCTAAAGGGTTAAGCATCCGGGAAACAGCAGAGCATGTCCCAGCTAGCAGAAGCTAACCGTTAGCATTAGCAACTCTAATTGCCTTATTAAAGTTCCATTACTTTTGTACCTGGAGCTAAAAAGTGCACAGAAATGATACTGCTGACTGAAATAGCTGCATTTATTGCCTTGACACCATCTGAGCCATGACATACCGGTAGTTTGAAAATCCTCCACAATAAAAGCCCTGGATTAATGCTCATGCTGAACTATAAAAACAAGCAAATAAAAGTCACTGAATAACATACAGCCTCCTCTACACTCAGGAAAACACAAAGGTCCAGGTGGTATGTGCATCATGTTTTCATCTTGCAGACTATAATACGCCCATTACATATCAGCTAATGTATTATACAGGCAGATGCTGAACTGTGGGTCCACCTTCCTAGCAGACAGTGAGAGAACAAACATGTAACCGAGTGAAATAAATAAAAAAGATGCAAAACAGTTTTTAGCCTTTTTTTCAAAAGAAAACACTAATTATTTTATTAACCGTGACACATTTTTTACAGTAATCATCCCCAGCCACAACTTTCCTTGTCACAGTTAGTTTGCATAATTGCCCAAACATGTAATCCAGTACAACGCTTTCGCATTCTGCACTTTTCTTACAGGTGCTGTAAAAGCAAATGTGCTCAATGAATTAAAGTCTGCTTCCATAAGCATTAGATCCTTCATGATGATGGTTGATCCACTTACAGCCGGACCGATTTGAAGCCGCAGACCGCTCTCGTCCAAATCCAGGGGAGGATTTTGCTGCAAATTGATGTGCTCCTCTTTACAATGTCCCCGCATGAGTGCTGACAGAGCCCCAATAAATCAAAGCAATCACGGGAGATAGGGGAAAGACTTTGCTGTAAATCCCACTGGGATCATAAATGTACAGCATCTAAATGCACCTGTGCACCACTCTTAGGAGAGAACTCGCACACTGCAGCTTCAGAAAGCACATGTAAATAGAAAATCACAAGAATGCAGAGTAAATGAACCCTTGACATTGAAAGGCTCTTCTTATTTATCTAATTTGCCCTCCCTCCTTCATTTATCTGGAACAAAAGCCTGAGTCAGCAGCGTATGGAGGAAAGTGTTTGAAATCCGTGTGAAAGAGAGGAAGAAGCACAGATGTGTCTTTTCAGCATCTATGTAAAATGAGTGTGACACATAACAACTGTGAAAATAAGAAGGTAACTAACAGGTAAATATATGCATTTAGCATTAACAAGTATTTGTGTCCACGCTTTAGAACAGCATGTTTTTAATGCATACGAATGAACTCATATTTGCATTTCTGAGATGTTGTGGTTCTGTTTGCAGCTTTAAGCCGTGACCTTCAGTGCACCGGGGCAGCAGAGTTTGGAGTGGTCAGGATTAGAGTCATCTCCTCCATTTCAGGGGTCAGAGTTCTTGGCTGGAATAAGGTGGAGTCCTCGCTCTTTTTTTCTTATTTCCTACAAAGCCAGCTCCTATGTAGCACCACTCAAAGACATGCTAAAATCAAACACTCCAAAACCCACCAAACGCCCAATGCCCAGATATTAGATATAATGTGTAAAAAAAATATCCCGAATGAGGCCCCAATTTTATTAGGTGCAGCTTTCCTTTTGTTATGGCCCATTGTCATAAAGCTTGCCACCTCAGTTAAAATCTCAGTTAGTTGAGACTAAAACTCAATCAGCCAAAGCAAAGTATAAATAATTAACAAACTGAGAAATTGTCGGGTTGGTAAATTTGGTTCCCTTGTGTTCTCAACTGTTGTTATCAGTTAGTGATGTGTTGAATTGGAAATGGAGCTGTTTTAACAGCTGCTTAATTTCTTGGTCAGAACAGTTGTTCATTCATCACAATTCCACAAGTACAACAAGTATCAGCACATTGTCACACTGTAATCAGTGTTTGTAATTAAATGCCGTTCAAATCTGTAAAATAGAAGTTTTTCGTATAATCATAGTGTTTTTTTTTTTTATTAAAATGGGGCACAACCAAGAGAGTAAATAGTGAGGGATTGCTGGGGCTGAAGCCCCCACTTGTGGAGCCTAAAATGTATTGAAACTTACCTGATATTTTTAAGCAAAGATGCTTGCTAAAACTTTTGCCAGCAATCAGAATCAGAACCTGTTTCCGCAGCGAGAGCAGCCCTGTACGGCGCTAATCCACTGTAGCCACAGGTGGGAGGGAGATCGTGGGAGGAGCGCAGAGCACATTGACACCTGCAACTTGATGACCTCGCCAGGCTGAAGTCCACCAATCCGAAGGCGGGGGGGGGGGGGGGGGGGGGGGGTTGGTCGGGTTTTCACAGCATCTGTCTTCACTCCTTCGTGGGGGTTTTGTTGTTGGCATTCACAAGGCTGCCATGGCGTCAGATTCGGATAACAAGACTTTGTTTGGGTCAGGCAGAGATAATTTTCCTCTCTGCCTTCAAGTCTGTAACTGATCATTCAAGTCCTCCAGTGAAGCCAATTCAGGTTTTAAACATCTCCACACCGTCCGGTGACCCTCTCCGAGATGACATCCATTTTGCGCACTAATACCGGTAACGCAGCTAGAACACTGTCCAGCTTACGATTCACCTCGTGTAACGTCCCAGTCTGTGAGGTCTCCACACGAACGGTGCTTTCCGTGGGTGCGGGTTGCCCTCCAATCGCTCCCGTCTTCCCAAATTTCCAGAAAACCAGATATCCTCCCACTCCAATCAGAAGAAATCCAGTGATCATCAGGCCAAACATCCACACATCTTCAACGTCCTCAGTGCACAACTGGGAGAGGCATACGATCCTCCATTCTTTCCATGAATCAAGCGTATACCCCACCGGGTGTGTCCCTTGCGGGCAAATGGGAGCCCCCTGCTCCATTCTCATCATTGAAAAAAATCGTATCAATCACGTTGAATGACCAATTAATTAAATCCATTTCTAAAAAAAAAGGGATTTTCAGGAGAAGTGCAGAGAAGCGCTCTGTGGGCAGACAGAAAAACACAAAAACACATACCAAAGCAACCGATTTTCAGATGGAAGCAAACATGAAGGGTTGAAGCAGATCTAAGTGTGCCAGGGCCAGCTAATTCAACAAATAGCAGAATTTTAAAGCATATTCTGTAGTAAACTGGCAGCCAATGCTGAGAGGCCAGCATTGAATTCGTTTGAATTGCAATGGCAAAAATGTACTCTGACCAAAACTAAAAAAATTTTCTTGTTTAGATGCCCACAGCTAGCATTAGCGTTGTAGCACAGTGTGCTGCAGCAAAAGTTTTGAAAAGAAGCGTTCAGTCACTGCTTGAAAAGCAGAACAATGACTTGTGGGACCACTTAAGGTGTGTTTATATAGTTCTTGCATGTGGCAGCCATTGGTAGTCGATTGCCACCATGAATAAAGTTCCTTCAGCAACAAGTGGTATGTTACCATGAAACACAAGTAGTGGAAAGCCAAGTGTCATATTGTTGTTTCATGCATCGGCGGTCTCATCTGTCAGTGTCTGTTGCATAGAATAGTATGTTGGATTTGCCCCCGAGCTGAACTGGTCTCCTGTTTACTACTGGCTGAGGAGAATAAATATAAATGGATAATAAAGCAGGCCAGAGTTAGTCTTAGCCAAGCCAAGTTGTTTACATTACACAACCACAGGGTATTATACGCTTCAGGCTTTAACTTGAATTGGGTTGTACTCACATACAGGAGTGTGTCATTTGGCACAAACTATAGCAATAGTCTTTACACGCTGCTCAGGGTTCCTTCCACACTTTTAGATGTAAGTATGCTGCTCCTCTCCCAGTGTAGGTCACAGCTAACAGTTAAAAATGCAACACAAGGTCTCGAGGTCTTGCCATGTCTTTTTCCATCTTCACAATCTCTTGATCTTTCCCTGGAGGCACCAAAAACATCATTTGCTTGACACTTGAAGCTTGGTTTAATGTTGTTGTTTTTTTAAGGTCTGCACCGAAACCCTCACATTTCTCTTTATCCTTCATTGTGTAAATGCAGTTATGTTGCAAATGTATGTGGACATATAAATTGGTTGCTTGATGAGGGCTTTTATAACTATAATTTATTACAGGGGAAATATCAAAAAATGGTGAGTGATTACAAAAAAAAATTCGAAAAACCAGTATGAATTATAGATGGATGGGTTTCATGATGGTGGAATTTTCAGTACGTCTAGCTGGGAAATATATATATATATATATATATTGTGCTTTAATGAGTCTATTTTCATGAATAACTTGTGCCTTAAGGTCAAAGACCTCCTCCGAGCATCCTCTATGAGGATGATCCATGAATGATGAAATATTGCACGCAGCTTCGGAACATTTTGTCTTCCACATTTACCAGTATGTCCCACTGTGGGACCAGCTGAGAAATACTCCTCACTCTGTGGGGTGTTTTGGTTTCTATAATCCTTGGTGGGTTTTCTGTGAGATCAGAATCATTTGTGCAGTGTGTAGAGATTCGTGATAGAGCGGGATCTCTGGTCATTAGCTTAAGCTAATTAGAGTGCAATGCTAATGGTGACCAGCAGGCGGAGAGGCTTTCAGGGTTGCTCAGTCCTCCCGCCCCCACCATGTCCCTCCTCTGCCTCATGCTGCTCCTGAAAGTGAGGAATTCTTGCATAAACTTCATTCCACTCTGCAGAGGGAGAACACATGTTGGAGATCCGGCAGAGGCACACAGAGCAGACCAAAGAAGTTTTAGGACTGGGTTTATGTCCTGATGTAGATTTTATTCCATAACATCAAGTTTTGTTTTAGGTATTTTCAACTTCAAAGAAAAAGTGTGAACGTTTGAGTTTGAACAGTCGATCTAGACATGGATACGTCCTTTACTGTGAGTACTCCTCGCCTGTCCACCTTCCTCTGTCTTTACCTGCACCTCCACACTCTCGCGCGGGCCGCTATGGACTCCTGCTATGATGAAGAGGGGGTACCCAGTCGATGCATGCCCAAGTTTGAGAACATCGCCTTCAATCGCACTGCGATGGTGTCAAGGGTGTGCGGCTCCCCACCTGAGGACTACTGCATGCAGACCGGCTCGACGCGCTCCTGTCACTACTGTGATGCATCAGATCCAGAGCTGCACCACAACGCCAGCCTCCTGACAGACTTTCACAGGAATGATGAGCCCACGTGGTGGCAGAGTCCGTCCATGTACTATGGCATCCAGTATCCCAATTCTGTCAGCGTCACCCTCCACCTTGGTAAGAGCAGCAACAGCTGTATTCTTAGGATAGAACTTTGTCAGATAAACTTGTTATCGGAGGCTTGTCTTGTCTTTCTGGACTGCAAGCGCGTGTCACGGGTAGGAAATGGTTGTCTTCAGTTGGAACCGTGAATGTTAATTTCTCCACGTACCGACTGGATTCGACATGTCATTAACTTTCTCTTTTCCTTTCTGTGTGACAACTATCTTGCTGAATTATTTCAGGAGCTGCATTTCCTCGGGGTGGGGTGGGTAGAATTTTCAATTCAAACCAGATGTTCAGAACGACACAACCATTTGCATTATTTAGTCTCGTCGCATCTTGATAAAAAGGGGGAAGAATAAAAATAAATAAATAAAAACACCGGCCTAGACATTCTTGAAGGTTTTGTCACAAAGGCGTGTTTGATATTTCTGTAGTTTTCACAGTGAATGACAAGGACACAGAGTTGCAGCCTGGATAATGAATCAGAAACAGAGCGATGCTCCCCGGATGGCCCTTTTTATTCAACACACATGCCATGTTGAACAGCGCAGTCAAGTACTAAGCATGAAGAGAATTTTTGGGGCAGACTTCAACAAGAGTAATGTCACATCAGGATCTAAATCCTTATTATATTACTGAAAATTGTTGTTTATGCATTTAACTTAAATCTTGTGCATTTGGGCAAATAGGTTGTTCTCAGTTGGCTCATAAATACAGAAAAGGCCTGGGTTATCCAGAGGAGGCAGGGGGCAAACTCAGAAGATCCACTTATCATAGAGGAAAAATTCATTCTTACCCCTATTCTATTCTATTTAGTTTATTTGTAAGGTGTTAAAAGGAGCCCAGGTTACAAAACCTTGTGGTTCTTAAGAGATAAATGTTAGTATCAGTTATATTAAAATGGTGTAAAAAACCTTCTTGATGTCTTCATTTTTATAAAATTTGTTAAAAATTGTGTTATTCGTAGGTCGCCATTGTTGTTAGCGTTGCAATGCACTCTGGGTGGTGACGTCATTTGGTTGTACCTCGGCTGCAGCGGCCGGCTTTGGGACCCTGTAGTGACTGTTCAGCGACATCAACATGTCATCTGTTCAGCCTGTTCAATTTGAACCAGAGCGAAACATTAATGATGACATCACTGACGACGTTTCACAAAACGAGCATCAAAATGAGGAGCAAGAAGGGCGGGAGGAAGCGAGTGCAGGACAAAACCGGTGGTGCGTGTGCGGCAAATGTGTCTCTGTGGTAATCAACAGGGAGAGTGTTTGTTTTCAAGAGCTCACATTTTTGTCAGCAGAAGTTAATGGTAAGCTGTCGTGTGATCAAACTTATTCAGTTATGAATTGTTTTAGAAAATTTTAGCATCCAGAGCTGTCGTGTGCTTCATAGATGATTAGAATATTCAGTGAAATGACTTTAATCACTTTTGCAGATATTATATATCTGGAGAACACTGTGTTGCTACACTTACTGCTTGTTTTACTGACGGGAGAGGTGAATGTTCAGCTTCATCCGTGACGAGTGGCGTGTCCGATGGTTTGCTGAACGTGACAGCTGCAGGAGCGGGTTGTCGGCTCAGGAGAGCGTCCAGCGTCTCTTGTCTCTCCGAGGGTGTTTAGGCTCCTTGTGTGGGACAATGGTCAGTAAAGCATTTAGTTTCTGCCTTCTCTTATACCAAGCTGCTCCGGTGACCTCTTTAAGTCGTTGTGGTCGACTATTAGCCTCAAACACATCAGGAGAAAAATGTTGGGAACACAGCTGCGGATCTTTGGGAAGTTGAGTCCGTCCACAGGCATCTTCCCACTGCTTTCTCCTCTACTTAACAGTGGGAAAGCTCTGTGACCTCACATCACTCCCCTTTTTGCCCTTTGACTGGAAATTACATCCAAAAGCAGCACAATGCGGCATTTTACTTCATTATTAATACGGTGAGCGCGTAAACAAACACTAACGTCAATAGCTCCAAGTGCAACCAAAATACGTCATCGCCCCCAGACTGCGTGCGGAAAACATGGCGTCGTATGTATGTCCAAAAATGTACTAAATATTATAGCTTTATAAATAAACAGCAATAGTTTGTGTGTTTCTAACAACATAGTTTGGTACAACAGAAAACATGTGGCTCATTAGGGCATACACGTCCCCGTAGCTAGAGTTCCTATTAATTCACAACAAGAATCATCTCAAGGCACTTTAAAAAGTAAACAATGCATTTAGTTGAGTTCAGTGCAGTTATGTAAGGAAACCCAGCAGATTGCATCCAGTCACTAGCTACGTTCACATTGGCGCAAGTAATCGGAATTAATGCTGTATCAGATATTCTTCATCCAAACACGTCAACCGGAATATTCTGATCCGATACGGCCTGGTGGTTTTGCATGGAGGCAGAGGAGAATGAGGGACAAATTCGTCCGTGTTAAAAAGTCTATGAAACACATTAAAACTATATAAACAAAATACAGATGTGTGACTGTAATGGTGGCAGCACACCCCAGAAAAGTGCTACGCCCTCTCTTATCTTCGGGGAGAATTGATTTGCAACACTTCCCAGGTGGAGAAGTCTTCAAGAAAAACATCTCCGTCAAGGCGTGCGCGACTCCACACTCAAGCTGATGGAGAAGTAGGAATTATGCCTGACTCGATGTGTCAAAGAGTGAGACTTTACAGCAATCCCCATATTAAGCAAGCATGTAGCGACAGTGGAGAGGAAAACTCCCCTTTAACAGAGGGCAACCTAAAGCAGATCCTGGCTTAGTGTGCAGATCCACTGCAGCCTGAGTCACTTTGCCCCAGCTGCCTGGAAAAACAGTCCATGTAATAAACGTTTTATAGATTCTTTGATGGTTCTTCTATCGCGGACGTTCTGGCCAAACTATTACAGCTGAAATAAAACTCAACATTTGAGAGAGCTGTCCTCTGGTTTGGTAGAGGGAAATGTTTACTGAATTCAGACACAAACCAAATCTGCGCTGTATTTAGAATGTGTGGAGTGTTCATATAATGATGGGATTATATTTTCCATTTGTCCTTTCCTTTCAAAAAATATTTATATGCCTAAACTAAACTAGCCTTTAGACAATTTTGAAGTTTCTGACACAAGATAGTGACTGAAATGACCCTATCTCCTAGATCAACTGTAATAAACTAAGCATTGCCCATCTGACTATCAGATAAATCATTTGCATTCAGTTTGTCTTTGATGTATTACAATTCTTCCTGATATTGTGCACATCATTTCTGTCATGATGATGAATGTTTTATGTAGCGTGCAGTGTGTTTTAGCAATAATAAAATGGTAAGGCTTTGATCCTACACTTCTTAAATTCAATTTACTTGTGTTTGTGCTCCGAGCCGTCGTAGTTCAGAGAAAATATGGAACCTATATGACTTTTACTGCTGCATTACTTCTTACAGTAATATCATTTAAATCAAATTTCCTCCTTTATGAACTCCTGTCCTTTGTGCGAATGCATCTGACTCACTTTTTGTACTCAAACATGCACCGTGGGTACATTAGCACTGTTTTTATGAGACCAGTTTGAGCCTGCAACATCATTATCTCTTCACCAAGCTGTGCAAAACTGCTAAAATACTAAAATAGGTGTCGGGCCACAATGGTGACTTGAACCTAACTGTGATGGTCTTTGTAGCAAAGCATGAATACAAATGTTCTTATGCGGTTAGCCTTTCCTCCCCCATTCAAATGTTTTGCTGTATTTAGGTCTATAACATAAGTCTCTTATCAACAAGGGCATAAATAATGGAATTTAGGGTACCACAGAAAAATATTCCTCTCAGTCAACCATAGGGAATTTCAATCACTAAGGTTCAAATTATAAAAGGGACGATTCTGAACGTTATTGAACAGCGTGCAGCGTTTCGCTGGCATTCGGTGCCTTCCAGCGAGCCAGAGGTCTCCGGGAGTAGAGCCCTGCACTGAAGCCCTAGGCCCTCGGGTCGGCCCGACCCAACGGCCCGAGGGCCGGGCTTAGGGGCCAACGACTGTGTAATTACCTTGGACACGGGCCGGGCTGGGCGCCTTTATTTTTAACCAAATTCATTAAAAAAACTGAAACAATTGAACGCAGCAGCACCTGCCTGCTTCTCACGCACCGGCACCCGTTAGCTCAGTTAAGGTCTGTGTGGTTTATAAATGCGCCTTTATAAACAAATTCTCAAACTACTGATTGAAACATGTGCTCCTATTCTAATATGCCGTTTTATGTCCACTTTGATATGTCAGAAACCATTCGTTTATTCTCATGAAAAGGGCAGCTTTCTGTTTTTCTGTGAATAAATTCGCTCTGCAGTTAAAAAAATACAGCATTCGTTGCTGTTTTTTTTTCCTAACTGGAAAGCGCATTTTAAGAGTGGCAGATTAAATTTACAAACGCTAATTGGTGGCGTTTATTTAATCTGCCGCTCTGAAAATGCGCTCTTCAGTTAGAAAATGAGAATGCTGCTTTTTTTTAACTGCTCAAGAGCGCATTTTCAGAGCAGATTAAATTTACAAACACATTCAATTAATATAGTGTTCGTAAATTTCATCTGCCGCTCGAAAAAATACGCTCTGTTAGAAAAAAAAAGCTGCATTGATGCTGTTGTTCTTTCTTCTCTTTTTTTTCACTGCAGAATGATTCTCACAGATAATTAGAATGCTGATTATTCTATCATGCTAAAACATTTTGAAAGGTTAAAAAAAAAAGTCGGGCTCGGGTCGGAACAGAGAATCCTGAAAACCTTCTCGGACTGGGTCGGGCTGGGGCTCCACCCCCTCGGGCTGGGCCGGACACGGGCTCAGATTTTAGGCCCGTGCAGGGCTCTATCCGGGAGATGTACTTCACCCCACAGCCATCAGGAGTCAGATGCCTCCCAGCCATCATGTCATCAAAGTTGCAGGCGTTGAACTTGGTGAAGCAGTACTTCTTAGTAGGGGGTGGATCTTCTTGCAATCGGGGAACTTGAACTTGGCTTTGCGCAAAACCTCCACCAAGTGCTTCTTCGTATGTACC